CCTGTCCACGCCACGAGGGCAGGCAGCGGGGGGGAAGAGGTAATCTCAGCTCTGAAAACCCTCACACAGCGCCAGGAGAGACCCCCCAGAAGCCACTCTACCCCAACATCTAAGTACTGCAAAATGTCAGAAGTATTTAAAAATCAAGTTATAGTTGAACCTCTATTAAAATATTTACATGTGTGTATATAAATATATCTATTTATATATATATATAAATTAGACAAATATATGTATAATAGTCAGAAGATAAAGGGAAAAAACTGTCTTCAGGCCTTAGTGAGTAATAAATGATGTGTAACATACTGCAGGAAACAAGGGGCAGAGGATTTCAGGAGACATAGTTTTCTTACACCTTACAACTTAAGACATATTGGTTTGCTTTAAAGCCCCGTCACACTTTTGTATGACCTTAAAGAGACATTCTAATTTTTCTGTGCTTTTGTTCCTGGTTACTTCTATTGTACTCATCTTGAGATGATTTAGTCAGAAATCAGTGATCATAATATTTTTTCTGCAGTGGTTTCTTCCACAATGAACCTCAGGTTCTCTTTTAATCAATTGTCCACAAAATCTTGACTTGAGTACTCAGAGTTCTGGGGGTGAGTAGGTAGCACTAGCTCTTTTTGTAGTAAATCATTTAAATGCAAATTGAGCCTCTGGGAGAAAAAAAAAAAGTTTCTGAGTATCATTCTGTATGAATGCTTACTCTACCTATTCAGGGTTTTCATATCTATCAGACATAAACTGGATATTTTTATGTAAGTGAATACATCAGTCTCTGGGGTAAGCATTATTTTAGGTACACAAGTGGAAAAGTTATAACGTTTGAAGTAATCCTGTGTCTCACGATGTTGGCGTTGTACTAGAAAAGTTGTCTGAAACAACACAACCACCAGCTTCCTCCAAATACATTGAACCAGAAAATGAATCTGTGGAAGTTGGTTTGCTCCAGCTGGTTTATTTTCTGTCTGATACATGCATGCTCTGGTTGTGCTCATATCAGAGGCCAGAAGCCCTAGCATTCATTTCTGACAACCTGGATCAGGGCTGCAGAGCGTGAGTGCAGGCCACCTACAAACCAAATGCAGTACCTGTTTCCTGGGAGTCATGGATATGAGACTGGGGAACACTTCTGCCCTGTAGTAGGAACTGAGTTCCATTAGAGAAGTTATCTTTGGTTCTGCATTTAAAAATGCACCTTACGTAGTAATGTGTCATGCCTCAAAGTAAATTCTGATGGTTTAAAACATTATATGGGGGTCTAGGGGTGTGTGTGCATGTATGTGTTCCCTTTTGGTTAGCAAATGCTCACAGACCACAAAGACACAAAAATCAAGACTATATTTGAGAAACCATACCTGAATCAATCAAACCAAGTACTTAAGATCAAGATATTTATGATGTCTCAATGTATCTTTATGTGTCTGTCTGTAAACACACACAATTAATGTGTTATATCCACATAAACACATATTTCCCTACTCCCCTCTGGCAGTTTTATGAAATCACTTTGTGGAAGTTGTGTGCATCTGGTATATAAAATCAGTTTGTCCAGCAAATTATTTATTCAGGTTGTTCCACTGGTCTTGCCTCCTCTTTTCCATTGCTGGCGTGGCTTGATCGAAAAGCTATTCTACATTCTCACTCAGAAATGTGTATACTGAGTTTATTATAGATCAACAAGAATGTTGATTTCATTGTAAGTAATGAGTGATGGTTCTTTGGTTTAAAGTAGCTGTTATTTGTCACTCTGACAGGTACACCTACTGCGAAATGCTGGCGATGAAGTTACCATCACCGTTCAGTACCTCAGGGAAGCTCCATCATTTTTAAAGCTCCCATTAGGTAAGAGGAAATTACTGGATAGGAGTAATTTGTTTTCCTCTTTTCAGTATTCTCATAAGAAACTGACAGTGACAGAAATAGGAATTCAATCTTTGAATGTTGTACAAGAAGAAATAGAAAATTATCTTTCTACTTTGCTGTTTAACATATAATAATCTAATGCATACTGCCTTACTGTTTATGTGTAATTTATTCAAAATAAAACTGAAAAAAAGTCATTAAAATGCAGTACAGTCATGGGTGATATCTGAAAGGTTTTCAACAGAAGCTTTGCCTAAATACAATAACATAGTATTTACAAACATTTGAATCATACATTAACATTGAAAGATTCAGGACACCAAACAAATGGATAACATTAATAATGTATGTTTCATAAATTACTTTACTATTTTGGTTGGTTTTGTCAGAGAGCAGAATTATGTGGCAACTGAGTAGTTTAACAATAGCAATACCAAATTGTGTATGAACAATGCAGATGAAGGAAATTTTGGGTTCTTCTGGTTAGCAGATAAAATATTCAGGTTGCACAGTTGTGATCAAAGTTGCAAGTAGAAAAGTGTTCATATCAGCTGACTAAATCAGACCAAATAATTTTGCAACAGGTTATTTTAACAGATTATTCTCTTTCCAAAATAAGCAGAAAGATTTGAAACGTGTCTTGTTCTTTGGATTTATTCAAGTTGGGCTCAACTACGTCCTTGTTTTTATCCTGATTTCAGCAGAATCATAGGTGTCATAGTTTAGCTCTTGCCATTAGAAGAGTGTCGATCTGGGTTCTTACACTGGTTAAAAGCCAACTTGGCAGGCCTCTACTAAGCTGAACTATACCTTTCATGCTAAGACCTTTATTTCAGTTCTCACTGCTTATCATTTGCATTTGAAAATGGAATATAAATTCTAAGAACTCTTATGTTTACATTTTGAGATCTTTGTATATTCAGTGTTTCTTTTGTTTTCCTAATTGTCCTACTAGGTCATCAGACTAATGTCTATAATGCCTTGAATAACTCTGTCCAAGGCTAAACATGATTTTGGCAAGTGAGCAGCATCTTACAAGTAGTTTCTGTGTTGTTGGACATATTAATTTGTGGTTATGATAGTCCTACTAGCCCTTGTATCTCATCTTGTAGATTGACATCACATACTTGAACTGTATCACTTGTCATTGATTAACCTTGGCTAAGAGCCAAACTCCCACTCAGACTCTGTCTCGCTCCCTGTCCTCAAACAGAACACAAGGAGAAAACAGAATGAGAAAGCTCTTAAGTCAATACAGATACAGTAAGATCACTTATCAATTACCATCATGAACAAATCAGAGTCAACATAAGGAAACTTAGGCAAATGTATTGCCTATTAAAAGAGATTCAGGCAGTGAGAAACAAAGACAACACTGTCCATCACCTTCTTCACTGACCTTGAGGTTCATTTGGTTTTTTTCTCACTCTTTTCCTTACTTCTGTCTCTCCTCTTCTGCATTTTTCCCTTTCTTAAATAGTTTTCCAGAAATGCTACCAGCTCAGCTGCAGGACTCAGCTGTGCCCTTGAGTGCATCTGTGGGAACTGGCTGGAACTGTCTGTGTCTGACACAGGGCAGCCCTGACTATGTCCCACCTCTGGAAGCACCTGAACCCCCAAAACCTTGCCACTAAGACCCAGTACACACTCTACGTGAGCTGGCTGCCATGCTTCGTGCAGGTCCAGGAATATTGGTGCCCTGTTCATACTTCATGGGTGCCATCGGTTACCTTTTTTTTTAAGACTTTTTTTAAAAGCCTTTTGGTTTGTTATACCCTTGAATTCACATCCAGAGAAAAACTACATATTTTTCTCTAAGAGAAATTCTTCTAATTTAGTGAGAAAAATAAGACATTTTGGAAAAAGTTTTTACAGGAATAAAATGCAAGCAAGAAAAACATCCACTAAAACACCCAGCAAAAAGACCCATTCCACAGAAAACACCCACTACAAATGATCAATATAGTAGCTTTAGTAAAACACAATTCATTGGTTTTAAGTTACCCACAAGAGAAGGAAATCAGTAACAGAAGATTCACTGCTGCTGGGAAAACTCTTGAGGACATTTTATGGTAAAACAGTCTGTATTCAAAATTTTTCTATTTGATAGTTATACTAAATTATTAGAATATTCTGAATTTGCAAAGCTTGTAGCCTGATTAAAAATCATCAGGAGTGTTTCATTTGATTTTAGTTTTGTCTTTTGAAGGTTGCCTATGACATGATTAGCAAGTTCAATAAATGAGTTTTTATTTATATGCAAAAGGTCTCAGGTATTATTCAGTAACATTAACCATAAGACAAATTGTTTTAAATAGTAAAGTCTTGCTGACTGCTTGCTGTACATTGATCTGCTGTGGTGCATTTTCAGGGTTGTTTGTTATTTAGAGATTTAGTGTAATTCACTGACTGAAATAAACAACCCCCTGCTGAGGGGACTCTGTGTTGACCAGAACTTTCATAGAGACCTTTCTAGGTCTAGAAAGCCTAAGGCTTTTGAAGTTAAAAGTAAAATCCAGGCTTTATTAAAATAAGTAGTAGAATGTCTTCCTTTTTAAATTGAAAAATTGTCATGATACTCTCAAAAGGAGTATAAAAGGATTTATAAACTACTCCTACTTGTTCAACAGTAAATGTGTTCTTGTTTTAGGTTTAGTGCCAACTAACTTGATGATTTCCTGAGTTTCTGCTGGTTCTCCAAAATCCCCTGTGATCCTTACAAAGTTTCTTTCTCTCACCATGTAGTTCTGCGTTGTTTTTTTTCATGCTACCCCCTGGGGCATCTCAGTGTTGTGAACTGCAGACTCCCATATCCTTGCTATCTCTATGTCTCTCTGATCCCTTCTCACTTTACAGGGTATATTTTGTGGTTTTTGTTTTTGTGGTTTTTTTTTTTTTCTCTGAGCATACTCAGCTGTTGCACAGGCAAAGATAAAGATCGGGGAAAGGTCTTTTCCACTCCCACAGGAGAATTCCTAACCCAGCTCTCTCAAAAGAGCAAGCCATAGCTGAGAATAAGCAAATCAAACAGATAATTCCTGTTCTAGTTTTGATTTTTCTTAGGCTGACTATCTATGATTTGGGTGATATAGGAGAACATCTAGGCAGTAATGATTGCTGGAAATCTCACAACATACCAAATACCATTTTTTCTGGCATCAGTACCTAGCAGGATAATCTGCTGTGGAGTGGGGAGTTATCTGTAGCAGATGTTTTATTTTACATGAAAACTCTGTCTGTCTCAAACTAATGTTCCAGAGTTTGGACTGGTGCTTTCCACTTGATTGGGAGTCTCATCTACTTAGGCAAGAACTGCAGTAGCAGATAATGTACATCCATACTGTGTTTTGTTGTAAGAACAAGGAGGAAGGACTACCTGATTACTCTAGGGCTGCCATGCAAGCAGACAGAGTTCCTTGGAGGGATGAGAGCACTGCACCTTCCATGAAAATAGCTGAGCATATGCATGGAAGTTTTTAAAATGATGAATGAGGTCTTGAGGAGTAGTCCATGAGTAAGTGAGGCTGAAAAGGCAGGGAGCAGACTAAAAGATTTGTGAACTTGTTTTCAATCAAGTGGTAGACATGGCGTAGTCTGAGGTAGGCTGTGTAGTTTGTTGTGAGTTAGAAAATGAAAGAAAGTTGCTGAATTGAAAAGCAAGTCTGCTGGGACACTGTGGGAGGAGGGAAATTTCTTTCTTAACCTTTTATTCTTAGCTTTCCCATGTAATGGATATCAGTTCTCCCTACTTAAAAATAATTAATTATTCTGCTGTAGTATTTTATATTATGGTAAGCCCTGGATTTAAGGATTTTTAAATACCGAAATTCATGTCTTTTGATATGCTCAAATTGCTGAATAGGTGGACTAATTCCCCTTTCAGAATCTGATCGAGTCATGGACTTGTGATAGTTGTCTTTTTATTTAAAAAGTAGTATTTTTATTTAAAAATTTAGACGTTTTCTTCTGTTCCATCAAGTCACTGTGGTCATCTGTGAATATCAACATAGATTTTTGTGGCCTACTATATGTATAAAGATCTACACAATGTTGTAGCTACTAAGGCCGGTGCTTGCCTTAGACCCGTAAAAACAAAGCACGATGACTCCTTCTGCTTACATCATCTAGCACTGTACAGAAAGGACTCTAAACAGAAACATGCTGAAATTCAGAGATCTCAGAGACAAGCTGAATTCTGAGACCTCAGCACTGAACTGACAGAGAAATGGAGAAAATGCACTTTTGTTGAATTAAGTTCCATTTTGCTAAATCTTCCAGATATATGAAATACATGCAAAAATATATGAATAAGAATGACTTTTTGACTTCTGTGATGTTAGACTTGACAAACCTATAACGTGAAATGATTTACAGGCAATTTCAGGTGAATTCTTTAGATGGAAAAATGAGTTTTCAGTGATTATGAATGTAATGCTGTGCAATTGATTTTATGTGAGTTATTGATAAGACCAAGTGCTGTCTGACAATAATTTTATATTAGTGGTGCTATTTGTTAGCATCTTACATTTAAGCAGAAATTACACAATGATGTGACTTTGTGCTGTTTCCATTATTATATATTGCAAAAGCATTAAGCTTTTCTAGTGTCAGTTTTAACTACTAAAGTTGGATCATGATGCATAACTGCTAAAAGGAAAGATATTTTGAAGAGTATAACCATGTAGTCTTAGCATATTGACATAGTATCAACAATTCAAAATGATTGCTTTCAATTTCTAAATTTGAGAAGGAGCGTCTTTCTTGAAAGTAATTGGCATTTTAAGGAAAAGATGCATCTTTTAATAAAGTTGTGTCCAGTTAGTATTTGCCTTAAAGTTTCCTATTAGCTTTCTCTATAAATACAGTCCATGGTTATACTCAAGCGAAGACTTTCAAGACTCAGTAGGAAATTTACTTATGAAATTAATGGGTTTTGTGTAACTGACTTTCTTATTTGCTTTTGAATATCTAATTCTCATTCTCAGTGAAAAAAAAGGCTTAATCCTGAAGACAGTTAAGCATACAAATAGTTTTCATGAGCGCAACCTCTATAAGAAGTCATTTAGCTACCATTCTGCTTTCTAGACATTAAATATAGCATACAGACTTCTTATTGTCTGTCTTTCTAAAATGCAAGTAGTATTTCTGTCTTGGTGTGGTGAATCATATTAAAAATCCTTCTTGTGTTTTACAGTTGGAATAGATATTGTCTGAAATCTACATATCATTTTAACATAAGTATTTATCTGTTATGGTCTGATTTCCAGGTTCCCCTGGACCATCCAGTGATCACAGCAGCGGAGCTTCATCACCTCTCTTTGACAGTGGCTTACATTTAAATGGAAACTCAACTAACACGGTAAGCAAATGAATAGTAAAAACCTGGTGTAAGCTGTGTAAGTTCTTTTCCCATTTTGAGCTTCAAAATCCTAGTGTAAGACTACCCTAATTCTGTTGGTTGTTTACTTGTTTGTTTGATTGATTTTTAAGTGCTTAAACTGTAAAATCCTGTA